TTTGAGAAAGTAAAATATAATGGTCATTTGCTTTAAAGAGAATTGATTTGAAATTATAATGTAATCGTAATATAATTAGATTACATATAATTAGATTACAGTAATAGTAATAGTAATAATGAAATTAGTGAAGTAATAGTAATAGTAATATAATACATTTACATCTACTAAACATGTAATTGTAATAGTAATAGAATTTTTTTCTAGTTAATAGTAATAGTAATATATTACTTTCTAATGTAATTGACCCCATGTCTGAAAAATACTAGTTCTTATACCTGCTATTTTAAGTACCGTCTTAGGAGGTTCAGTCAGTAAGAGGTTCTGTGGCTTAAGGTCCATGGGAGCTATACCCTTTGACCTTAGAAACTGACGTGAGCCTACAAGATGGAAGGTCCCAGGGACAAATAGATCCTGACAAACTAAGAGTTGCCAGTAATAATCCACTAGGACTCAGTGATACACTGTACACCTAATCCTATAGAAGTACATGTAAATATGATTGAGAAAAAAGAAGTGAATAGTATAATTTTGCAAGCAAATCAATCAAAATTAAAGTGCATGTGGACAATAATATTATAACAATTTTATATAATTTTTACATCATGATGAAGAGGAGGGTGAAGACAATAGAAGGAGCGACATTAGCCCAGAGGAAGTTCTAAAATTAAAAATGAATATACGTATGAAAGATTGGGGCATAAAGTTTCAATTGCGTCTGAAAAGATACAACGTGCCTAAAGAAATAATCATGAATATGCCAGTGTGTGTTGCCGGGAATAAAAGGCACCTCAAACTACCTCTCACTGATAACTGGATAGAAACAATAATGGGTCACTGCAGCACAAGAGCTCTTCATTTTCAAAGCGCTCATCGAATGGAGCAACAGTCACAAGATATGGCAATCTATTTGAGTGGAGCAGTTGGTGGAGCTGTGGCAGGTGTTGCATTACCAGTTGTTGGCATACCAATAGGCATTACCATAGGCATTCTGATTGGATATAGAATTGCTGAAAGGTTTTACCAAAGGACGGTAAGTGATACAGTAGAAAAAGAGTTCCGTGAAAGAAAAAAAGATGAACTAACAACAGAAAAAGACTAACAAAAACACTAAAGATTGCAATGATTGATGTTAGTTATTACATACATTAAATCTTACTTAGCAGCTACTGACATATTAAATAATAAAAATCTCAAATGTCACTATGTAATGAATGCACTCCTACTAGCATAATTACTCACACTTCATTCCAATGGTACTACACCTTTGACATTTGATACAACTCATTAATGGGATATAAAGATATTACTATGGACAATCCCACATTTACATTTGCAAATATACAACATGTAGTTGTTTTGATAATTAAGATGAGGTCACCCAATAAATCAAAACACGGTACTGATAAGCTAAAAATGCTTTTACTACACTGTCAGTCTGTCACGTCATGAGTGACTAATTAGATTCAATGTGTTTTATCATGTGATCATAGTTTACATAAAGTCTTTCTCTCAGAGAGTTAGTGATGGCACAAGCATCAGATGAGAGTCTATGTTTAACTATTGTAGAAGGGAATGAGAATAATGAAGAGATAACAAGCGAAGAAACTAATTTTACTGAGAACATCATCAACTTACCACCAGCACAAGACAACGAGCTATTGACAAGTGAGGAGTATAAACAAAACAAACGATAAAAACAACAAAAAAGAACGAGCCACTCAATATTTGTGATTGGTAGGACCGGAGTGGGTAAGTCTACACTAATCAATACTCTACTTGGGAAAAAGGTAGCGACAGTGTCCGATGACATCTTCCCTTGTGCTCAGGAGACAATGAAAGAATGCCGTGGTGACTTCTGTGGAACAGAAACACTCTTCTATGACACAAAAGGACTCGCTGATCCAGAGGAAGATGATGAGAAACTATTGAAGACGCTTTACAATGCGATAGCAACGTGCAACACTCAATATATAGTTTTCATTTGTCTGCCCTTAACAAGCAAAGTTGATAGATCAGTCTACAACTTGGCAAAGCTTCTGGTCAGCAAATTTGGAGAGAATTACTGTATCTGGCTTAACAGTATCATTGTGCTGACACAAGCTAATCTCTTTTCTCCTCAAAATGATGAAGAAGACAGCGACGATGATGATAACAATGACAGGAAACTCAAAATAAAGCAAATAAAAATGCTAGACAAGATGAAAAACTAAAGCAAAGAGTTCAAAACTTGTCTGGAGAGATTGGGGCTGTCGAAGGAAATCATATTGAATATGCCGGTAAGCGTTGCAGGGAAAAAGAATCCAAAATTACTGATCATGGGTAACTGGAAAGAGGTCCTTTTGGATACCTGCTTAAAGCGTCGAAAGGGACTACAGACCATCAAGGAGATCGAAAAATATGTAAAAAGATTGTCAGTTTATATTGAAATGATTGTTGGTGGTATAGCTTGCTGTGTAGTGCCAGTGATTGGTATACAAGTGGGTATGACGGTTGGGGGTTTGATCAGTTGGAACATTGGAGATAACTCATACAGAGGAGCAGTGAAAGAGGCAGAGCAAAAGAAGTTCCAGAAAAGGCACCTGTAGAATTATCCTCTACTGATAGTATAATAATAATTGATTTGTGTGATAGAGGCATTATTAGTGTTACTGAGGTGGATTATACTTGGAAGTTGTCATTTAAAATAATTTTGGCTAAAATTTTAGTCGCACAACCCCTAATGTCAATTAATTATTAGTAGTTATTAACAAACATTAAGTTAATACTATTTTGCCCCTGAATAGATGTATAAAAAATCTACAGTGAGAACTGCAAGTGACTCATGGCTGTGAAGCCAAATAAAGAAGAAATAGAGCTAGCAAACAGAGAAATAACAAAAGTAGATCAAGAACTGAGTACTCAAGAAGAAGAAACTGTCACCAGCGATATAATAGTAGATCAAGAACTGACTAGATCCAGTGTTAGTATCCAGCCTCAACAAAGCCCACCAGAATCATTCACAATTTTTGTAATTGGTAAGATAGGAGCTGGTAAATCATCACTCATCAATTCATTACTGGGAAAGGACGAGGCACTAGTGAGTGATGGTGTACATCCAACTAGACACAAACCACTAGAGAGGCACGATGGAGTGTTCTGTGGTGTACCCACTACATTTTACGACACGAGAGGAATAGGAGATCCCAACTTTGACAAAAAGGAGCTAATAAAGGAGTTTAAGAAAGCCATAAAGTCAAAAGGAGATCGATACCTCATATTCATTTGTCAGGAATTTACATCCAGATTGGATGATGCTACTCACCAATTTTTACAAGATTTAGCCAAACAATTTAAAAAAGATTACAATGTTTGGAAAAAGAGCATCCTTGTGCTCACAAAAGCAAATTTGTACGTGTATTTTCATCGACCAGCTACTGATGAAGAAAAAAAAATACCCAAAGAAAATATCAAAAGGCTAAAAATGCTGATGAAGATGCAAGATTGGTGCGAGAATGTTAAAAGTTCTCTAATACAGTATGGAGTCACTGAAGAGATAATTTTAAGAATGAATGTTTGCTCCACAGCTATTTATGATGAAGAAATACCGATTTACGAAAGCTGGAAGGAGACAATACTGGAAACGTGCATTGAAGCTCAACAAGATTGGGATATCAACGAAGAGAGAAGGAGGCGTGAAATAGCTACCAGGAATATTGGTGCAGTTGCAGGTGGAATTGTCTCTGTAATAGTACCTGTAATTGGCCCAATCATAGCAATAACACTAGGAGCAATCATTGGATTGAAATTAGGGAGAGAAAGTTTCGAAAAATCAATGAAAAAATCAGAAATAGAGAAGTATAACAAAGAAGCAGTCAATTTTGAGAAAAAAGAAAAAAAATTTGACTTTCTTCCCAAAGAATTTACTAGAAGTGACCCCAATTAGCTTTTTATTCATAAATGTTTTTGTTTTGTGTAGTTGTATTCAGTAGAAATGCTTATTTTAATCAATTTCCTTTTCTGATAATCAATTATAGTAGTTTACACTAGAGGTTGCAACTGATTAACTATCATAGCTAAGTTATTACAATGTAAAGTCATGCAGAACATTCGTGTATGTTATTTTGATCATGCACTACATACACTAAAGACAGACCACACCCAAACAAGACTAGTCAACTATTCAGGGCCATGGCAGAAGGAGGAGAGATAGCAACTTGCAATGAAGAGGCAATACAACAAGAAGACACAGTAATGCAAGATACAATACAACAAGAAGACACAGAAAAGGATCCTCTTACTATCATAGTGATAGGTAGGACTGGAGTTGGTAAATCAGCACTTGTCAACTCATTACTGGGAGACACCATAGACAGGGAAGCAATAGTCACAGATGGTCTACGACCCACTGACCATGATATATTGGAGAAGCATGAGGGATCGTTCTGTGGGGAACAAGTTGTGATATATGACACTAAAGGACTAGGAAATCCAAGGATAGATGATAATGACCTCATGAAGCATTACCTAGCTGCTATGAGGCAGAGCAGTCGTTTGATCGTACTTATATGCCAAAAGTTAGAGGAAAGTTATGATACTAATCGTCGTTTTGCAAAGCTTCTAGCAAGACACTTTGGAGATAGTTACAACAAGTGGAAGAAATGCATCTTTGTGCTAACAAAAGCTAACCAGTACATTTTAAAAGAGAATACCGATGAAGAAGATGATCTTGAGACAATTAGAGAAACTAAAATAGGAATCTTCAAGGAAGAATGGAAAATAGTATTTGGTGAGTGCTTGTGCGAGTATGGCGTCCCTGGAAAAATTATCTCAGGACGACCTGTTTGTATTGCTGGGCTTAACAATAGTAGCTCAAATGATTGGATAAAACCGTTATTTGAAGAATGCAAGTTAGTTGAAGAGGCTCAAAAATATTCCGCATCATCTGGAAGGAAACTTCGTGGTGCAGTAATAGGTGCAGCTGTTGGTGGTATAGTCCTACCACTGGCTGGTGCACCAATTGGTTTTGGAGCAGGATGGTATGTTGGGAAGAAATCTTATATGAATAAGATTAAGAAGAAAGAAATCAGAAATAAGCAAGAAAAATATGAAAAACAAAAAAAATCAGATAGACATCTCTAGTCATAAAGTTTTATTGCATGAGTATAGTTATAATAATTTAAAAGTTTGTTGAATTATGACACATACATGTTTGTTCCAAAGTTGCAAAGTCAGAAGCTACTCATATTCAATAGAAATATAATAACAACAGATGCTACTAACAAATTAGTTTATATAAGCACATAGACATAAGATCATGTGATGTGAAATTGTGACTTGAAAAACAGCCCTTACGGTATACCTTTAAAATGGCAGTAAAGCCTGATGACATTGAACTAACACACGTTGAAGGAGCAAATGAGAATCTTGAGGATTGCAGCAGCCCTGATGGAGATGCTAAAACAACTGTACCAGATTCATTCAACATTTTTGTAGTTGGAAAAACAGGAGCTGGCAAATCTTCCTTGGTCAACTCCATACTAGAGAAAAAAGTGGCAAGAGTTCAACAAGGTCCACATCCTTGCAAACATGATAAATTCATTGAAGAGTATGAGGGAGAGTTTTTAGGTGTGCCAACAATTATATATGATACCAGAGGATTGGGAGACAGGAGTTTAAATACAAAACACTATGTAGCTGCATTTAGAGACAAACTCAGCAAATGTGGCAATCGATTCCTCATATTCATATGCCAGAAATACACAGACAGGTTGGATAACTCTGTTGAACAATTTGTAGAGCTTTTATCCAAATATTTCAAGGATGACTACAACATATGGACCAACAGCATCCTAGTCCTAACACAAGCAAACACTGTCGACTTGAGCGATGATGAAGAGGATGACAAGGCAAAGAAAGTTAAAAAGATGAAATTCATGGCAGAGTAGGGCTTGGGGTTTCAAGATTGCTTTGATAAATATAACATTCCTGAAGAGATTGTACAAGGTATGCCCGTTTGCATTGCTGGGAAGGCTGGGACAGAGCATCTTCTCACAAAGAATTGGAAGAAAGTTTTATATGATACATGTCTGTCAACTGAACAGGACAAAAGTATCATGAAATTACAAGAAAAGGCAAAAAGATCAGGTATTAAATATGGAGCAATTGCTGGTGCAGTGACTGGAGGTATAATGATACCAGTCCTTGGTGCTCCATTTGGAATGACAGTAGGGGCTTTAGTGGGACTGGCAGCAGGGAAAGAAAGGGCCAAGGAAAAGGTGAAGGAAAGAGAAGAAAAAAGATTTATTGATAAGGTTATCAAAAAATTAAGGAAGCCTAGAAGATACAGTTTTTATAAAACTTGAATATCTTTTTTAAAAATCCCCCACTTCGTACATGTATTTCTTAACTATCATTTCTCCATTTCTTTCTATTTACACTTACTTCTGTATTGCCCTGCATTACACCAAAAAATATTTTATTAATGGACTGCATTGACTATACATGTACAATAGAAGACGATAGCTTAATTTTAAAACTGATTAGCATATCAGCTTATTGTACATACACATAAACATGCCCTCAATTTTGCCACCTCTCACCAGCACTTTAAACCCTGATTCCCTGAATGGTTAAAATCAGTACAGGGCCCCAAATGGAAATAATGAAAATATACTCACCTCTGCTAGCTTTAGTCTCAAATCCAAATGATGTAGACATCACATGGCTCTCATTAGACCCTGGCTATGATACACATTCATTAATAATGAACTAATGCATGTAGCTTACCAGTTCTTCAGGAAGCCATGTTGACTTGAGCCTACAAGATGGAAGGTCCCAGAGACAAATAGATCCTGATAGGCTAAGAGTTGCCAGTAATGATCCACTAGGACTCAGTGATACACTGTACACCCAATCCTATAGAAGTACATGTACATGTAGATAGGATTGAGAAAAAAGAAGCGAATAGCATAATTTTGCAAGCAAATCAATCAAAATTAAAGTGCATGTGGACAATAATATTATAACAAGTTTATATAATTTTTACATCATTAAAAACTTTCTTGTTCACCAATGATTGAAAGGCACCTCTTTTTGACTACAACAAAAATTAATAAAATATAATTTAAATTATTTTAAATACTTTTTCAATTTTATTATCAGCAGCTGGTATCCAGTAAGGAGAATCATTAACTAACCTCCAACAACTAACCAAGGGAGGCTCTATAAAGAGAGAAAGTGGAAGTAACTAAAATTTTAAAAAGTGGTATTATTAATTGCTAAATTTGCAATTGGAACAAAATTACAGTGGTCAATTATGTCACCTTAATAATTCACAATTATTGGCAGATACTGAATTGTAGAATTATGTACCAGTAATTACAAGTACATGTAAATTTCAATTTTTACCTATACCTTTAGCATCACTGCATCCAGCTATTACAATCACATTAGAATTTGATAGATACTGTATACCACCAGCACCATATGGGAAGTAATCCAATAGACTAACACTGTGCAATAGTATATACCTCTTATTCTGCCTATAAAGAATACTCATCATAACAGATACAACTGCATGTACACAATATAGTATAGTAATTTTAGTGGTGATTTTGCTATAAATTTATAATTTTGCAATTTCTGTATATGTGTATGCATTACGAGCATTTATACATGTAAAAGTACATCAATTAATTGTAGTTTTAATATTGGGGGATTTTGATCATAAATTGCCAATTACCAAAATTAATTTGCCAAGATAAAAATCTGTCACTAAATTAACTATCATGCAAGTATCTCATCTCATTCACTTACTTCAAACAGTATGTGGTAATCTGAGCTTCATAACTCATCACTATCAGTAGTGTTGAATCAGTTGAAGTATTACTGCTAGCAAAACACATCCCAGATAGAGCAGTCATTAGAAATGGAGTGGGTCTCTCTGATCCTCCACCACTTAATGCTACACCTCCTCCAGCCCCTGAGAGCTGATACAATACCTCACCATTATAGCTATAAACTGTAATATGACCCTGACTAATGAGAGAAGAAAGAGACATAAGCATGTAGTAATAGTCATGTAAATGTACAAGGAAGAGATTACATGAAGCTACATGTACATGAACATTACCTGTTGGCATAAGCTAGTGATGTGCCCTGTGGTGACCACACACTATATCTCCACTGTGGATACGGATCCGGTGATACTAAAAAATTAAAATATAGTAAAAAGTTAAATATTACCTGATACAGGTACGTGTTCCTATGTTGCATAGAAATTATGAACTGATTACTGATTCCAATCAAAATTAAATTTTTTTACAAATTTATAAGCTGCTCAAAAATTGGGCCAAAGTCACTGGAATTTTGGCCAAATTTCATCAAAAATGAAAACGATCTGACAATACTATACAAATATAATTTTAAAAATTAAATATTACAGTACATTATATTGATGTTCCTAAAATGTCTAAGAGAGAATCATTTTTTCTGATACATTTATGTACACTTATGCAGATGGTGTAGAAAGTTGCAACTAAATTGGATTTTTACAAATTTTTAAAGTTGATCTAAAAGTAGCCAGACTTTGTCAGAAAGGAAATACCAGCTATACAAACAATTTTAACAGACTATTACCTTTGTTATGCATACACAATTACACACATAGAAAAATTATTTGAGCCAAGCAGGAAAATGCACTCATGATACTTGATACTTTCCCCAGTATCCCGAGGGCATTTTTTGACTAATAAAAAAGGTTTCCTTACAAAAATGAATTACAGAAAAATACATTAATTGTATTTATAACTAATATTATTAATTAATTAATCACAAAGTAAAAAATTAGCGACGGTTTAATATGCGTTTAAAGAAACTTGAAAATTTTTTTTCTTTCGCTGCAAAATCGAGTGATTCATCTTCAGCTTTTTTTCCTTCATATTCTATTATTTTTTTTTCTGCAAGTAATGTCCCTATAGCCATTCTAATTGGTGGGCCAACGATAGGTAAGACAGCTTCACGAGAACTCTTCAAAGTTCTCTGTCTATAGATATCCCAATCTTTCTCAGCCTCAATACATATTTCCATAAGTTCTTCTTTCCAGTTTTCAAAGAGTGCTATTTCAGTTCTTTCACGATTACCTATGGGACATACAAGCATTCTTGCAATAATTTCTTTAGGGACACCATGATTTGTCAAGCAAGATTTGAAATTCACGCACCATTCTTTGACATTTATCATCATTTTTAATCTCTCTTCTTCTTTTGCTATTTCTTCCAAAGTTTTTTTGGCATTAGTCTCATCGCCAGTAGTCTCGTCGCCAATAGTCTCGTTGCCAGTAGTCTCGTCACCAGTAGTCTCGTCGCCAGTAGTCTCATTGCCAGTAGTCTCGTCGCCAGTAGTCTCGTCGCCAGTAGTCTCGTCGCCAGTAGTCTCATCGCCAGTAGTCCCATTGCCAGTAGTCTCGTCGCCAGTAGTCTCGTTGCCAGTAGTCTTGTTGCCAGTAATCTCGCAGCCAGGCAGTGGTCTCACTAGTTCAGCAGTAGCTTGAAGCCCTGGATTGTTCTCAGAATAAGTAAACTTATTCGCTTTTGTCAAAACAAGAATGCTCTTCTTCCAAATTTCATAATTTCTTCTAAATTTTCTGGCCATTAGCTCCCCAAACCTATGAACAGAGTCATCCAATCTGTCTTCAAATCTCTGACAAATGAAAACAAGATATCGATCTCCATGTTCCTTAACTGCTTTATCAAATTTCTTCAAGAAAACAGCATTATCAAATCCTGGATCTCCCAGACCTCTAGAGTCATAAAATGTGGTAGGTACACCGCAGAAGAATCCTTCATGCTTCTCTAGCATCTTGTGTTGACAGGGGTACATGCCATGCGCCACTTTTGCTTGATTTTCTTCTTTTAGCTCCAGCAATGAATTAATTAGCGTCGATTTACCGGTTCCTGTCCTACCTATCACAAAAATGGTCAGGTTTTCTGGCCGAGGCTGGACTTCGCGGTCCAGCTCTTCATTCACGACGATTTCACTGCGTTGTGAATCACTTAAATCTTCACCGAGTCCTTCTGCCATCGCTTTGGGCTCGGCCCGCTCGGAGTGGACTTATAGAGTTCAAGTGGTTGCTCAGGGACAAGGTACTTTCCGGAGAAATCAACTATGTGAGTAGTCACATGATGGATGACTACCGGTGTCTTTAAATTTAAAATAATTTTTATTATTGATTGATAGAGTAAAATTAATGAGCTGGAGTGGCGATCATTCAGCCCTGGCGCTTGGCCGCCCCATAGCGTAACCGATGATCATGGCAGAGGCAATCTTCAATGAAGCTGAGAATGCACAAGTGGTAGAAGACAAAAGGAAACCCGCACAGAAGGATCCTCTTACTATCATAGTGATCGGTAGAACTGGAGTTGGTAAATCAGCACTTGTCAACTCACTACTGGGAGACACCATAGACAGACTAGCTTTAGTGACAGATGGGGTACAACCCACCGACCATGACTATTTGGAGAAGCACGAGGGATTATTGGACTCGCCACGCTTGCGTAGGCGGGTACTAAGCAGTTGGGTTGTCATTACCTAGTCTCGCGTAGCCAGACCACACCCTCCGTGCCATTTTTTATAATTTTTCTGATACATGTACATGTACATGTTTTTATGTTGTGTAGAAAGTTTGAGCAGATTTCAATCAAATTTGGATTTTTTACAAATCTTTGAAAGCTCAAAATTGGGTCAAAGTCCTGAATTTATAGTGACAATGGAACCATTATTTTTTTGCTCATCACAGTGACAAGGTTTTTTGCTTGTCACATATTTCGTGAAAATGGAACAAATGGATTTTTTGCTTGTCACAGATTTTGTGATAATGGATTGAATGAGCTTTTGCATGCCAATGTGTAATAGTGTGTACACGTAGCTTTAAGCCAAGATTATTAAAAATCTCTCTCTCTTTCTCTCTATTAGAAAGAAGCTATAGAGATGGCTTGGTCATTTCTCACTGATACTCTTAATCTCTCAAAGGACAGGCTCTATGTAACATACTTTGGAGGAGATGAGAAGTTGAACTTGCCACCTGATGATGAATGCAGAGGAATATGGATAAACTTGGGGTGAGCATCACTATAATACATGTATGTTTATTCATAAGGGGATTTATGCATAGGGTGAGTCTATGTGTATAAATTGTACATGTGCATTTAGTTCATTCATTGGTATGATTTTATAGTATGTACATGTATATGTATGTACATACACACAATGGCTATTTTTCATAGATTGTCTCCAGAGCGTGTCCTTCCATTCAGTGTGAATGATAATTTCTGGGAGATGGGGGACACTGGTCCCTGTGGCCCCTGCACTGAGATACACTATGATCGAATTGGTGGAAGATTTGCCCCTAACCTTGTGAACATGGATGACCCCGATGTACTGGAACTTTGGAATATAGTCATCATGCAGTTTAACAGGTAAAATGGACTCCTCTTTTTCTCTTAAGATATTTAGTGTTTTCTTTACAGGGAGGCTGATGGTAGTATAAAACGGCTTCCAAGGAACTACATAGACACTGGACTAGGCTTGGAAAGGATCGTTTCTGTTGTTCAAAATAAATTTTCTAATTACGATACTGACCTTTTCCTTCCAATCTTTGATGCTATCCAACAAGCAAGTGCATACACAAGCACACAAAGTGAAAGTGATTGTTATTATTAATTTTACTCTTCACACAATGCAGCATATGCCACAGCTTCATCATACATGTATTTGCATTTATGTGTTCTAAAATTTACTGGCACCCTATGAAAATTGATTTTTAATAACCAACTTGCTTGTGCTGATATTTGGCAGGTTTGTGATAGTTAAAATGACTTTTACAAAACTAATTATTTATG